GACCCGCGACCCGCCTCGGCGTCCCCGCCGGCGCCGCGTCCCCATGCCCTCCCGCTACCGGGGGACCCGGGAACACGTCCCCACCCCCGCCCCCCGCTTACCTGTGGCTGCCGCCTCGTCGCTGTCCGGGGCGGGAACTTCCACTCCCCCCTCCCAGGTGGATCCGAATTCACTACCCACTTCCCCACCCCTTCACGCGGCGGGGGACGTGCCTCTTTCTCCGGGGTCAGACGGGGCGGGGAGAATCAGTGTCACTTAACAGCCAACTGTCCTACGCTACCGTTTCCTCGGCAGTCAGGGCCGCCACTGGCGGCATGATCTACACCAGGCCGGGGGCGGGGGAGGGAAGGGGGGCAAAACTGAGTAAACGAGCGTGGGGGGCGAGGCTAGGGCGGTCCCTCCGTGCGAGCCGCCGTCCTGCGTCACCGCGTTGCGCACGTGACGCGCCGCCATCTTGTGCCGCGGCTCCCCGGGACGGCCAGTTTCGCGTCCCTAAGGCGCTATTCTGGCGAAAGTTAGGGGTGAAAGTTACCTGTGGTTCCTTTTGGCTCCCGGAGCTCTGTCCCCACTCTTCTCACAAGTTGGTTTCCGGAGGTCAGCACCCCCTCGGCGGTGTCAGGAGGCCGCTCGCTGCGGGGGGGGTTTTCTACGCTTAGCGGCGTCGCCCTGAGCTCAGCTTCTCGTTGCTCTGGCCCAGAGCTGTCGTCCCTGGCCTTGACCCACGTCTGACCTATCCCCTTCTTGTAGACCAAAGCGACCTGAAGCTTGAAGACCCAGGCCTCACCACCCAGACTAATTTTAATCCCTTTAAACTGCGCAGAGTTGTATCTTTTATCCCAGGTGAAAGGATTAAAAAACCACACCCACTAGGTGCCGGTGGGCTGTATTTATCCTAATTGCTTAACTAGAAACAAGTTACAGACAATAAAATAAAATCACAGTCATTCATCTAATACATTACAAAAACTTGAAACTATTTTTTAATGTGTCTGCCTTTTTGGAGACGGAGTTATGGATTATTCCGATGCATTATGCTGAATTTTTTTCTTTACCCATTTCATTGCAAAATGTTCTTTTCTGATTTTATAATGATAATAAACAACAAATGATCAACCTTTTAGTATGCTCTTAACAAAAAGTTCTAGAATTTTTCTGAACTTTCACTAGTTTGAGATTGCCAACGTAGGAAACTGATACCGTGGATAGAGCCCTTCCTGGTTTGACCTTTAGGGCCAGATTATGTGATTTAAAGCTCAAGAGTTACTCTGCCAAACAGCCCTAAGAACTCACTAATGTTTACCCATTGTCATTCAGTCAGCAAACATTGACTACCTATTAAAAGGTAACTGCCCTTTAGATTTTTGATTAGGCAAATTACCCAACCTCTAAGTGTGTCTTCTTACCAAAATTGGGAAAGTGTAATACTCATCCCAGGTCTCAGTGTTATTTAAAAAAATCAAAATATTATATATCATAGGAAAGTAAAGTGCCCTATAAAGGTGAGGAGTGGAGAAGAGGTTCTCAGACATCAGCCTTTTCTTATTAACAAAGCGCAGTCATTAAAGAACCCAGAATATTAATAGCTGCAAGGCTAGTTGTAAATTTGTTATTCTTTTCATGTTCGGTTGTTTCTTCCTTGGAAGACAGAATGCTTAACAAATGATGAGTACAAGAGAGGTCGGAGGACTGAAAAATGTTAACCATCAAAAGAAACTAAATTTTACTGAAAACTTCAAAATGCATATGAACTGCCCCTTCTTTAGCGCCTCTTCCACCTGTAAAGCCTCGTGAGTTTAAATCAAATATATGCTGTGCAACACTGCCACTCACAAATATTTCCACTGTCCATGTTTCTTTCTCATGCAAGAATCACAAACTGTACCTACCAGTCTTCTGAACCTTGAGGAATAATTGAAGAACAAGAGAAAAAAAAGTCTGGGTTATGATGCAGGTAGTTCTATCAAAGAAGAAAGAGTTTTATAAACCAGATGGACAGGTCTTTGACTTCAGAAGTAAGGAAGCAGAGTGAAACGAAACGTAATTTTCAAGAATCAAAGGTAATTGTTTTAAAACAAACTGGTCCAGCCAGTGGTGGCACCTCACAGGCTCTTCTGGACCAGTTTTCTAGTTAGGAGAGAGGGATGTTGTAATGAAATGGGTTTAATAATAACACTATTCTGTGGAGTTTTGTAGATTGAATGAGTTTAACACATGTAAAGTTAAGACCCAATGCCTGGCACAGAATAAGCACTAAATAAACGTTGGATATTAGTATGTAAGATACTGCAATATAACTCCTGGAAATTTGACTGAAAACATGAAGTGGCTGCACATCCTGAGAAGCCTCATGGGTTAACAAAAAGACTGAGCTGGAGTGGAGGACTAGGGAGCTGTGAAACATATCTAGAACAGGTCACCTCTCAAAAGGCAGAAAATGGTTAAAGCTAGTAAATGTAAGCTTTGTGGTCTTAAAAAATAGGCTTAATGGTTTCTGTTTCTTTTTGTTCTGTCCTTTTTCAATACTCAAGTCTAAACACACAGGAAAACCTAACCAAGGATAGGTCTTAAATGCCTCTGGGAATTGTATGAACTACAACTATACCACCATAGCTAACACTCCTATAAAAGGGTTGTCCCAGATAACTTAGCTCTGAAACTATTTGCTGTTTCATGCTAACTATGCTTGAATTGAACTCCTAGAACTAGTCTGTGAGGCCCTTGGAGTAGTGGACAACTACAGGGCTGTCCATCTTTCCCTCTTTTTACAGGAACTTCTCACTTCTCATCCATATCTTACCAGCAATGGGCACCCGACCCAAGCTGGGCCCTCAATCTCCCCTATGGAAACGTGTCTTTGGACAAAAATCAGTCTTTCTCTAGGTAAATGAACCTAAAGCTTAGGAGCTGTGTGATGAGCCTCTTCTATCTGCAAACGATACAGATGAGCTGAGAGAGCTACCAGGGGCTTTCTAGGCCCCAGTTCTAGAACCTGCTGCCTGCCACAGCCCTTAGGTTCCATGAACCACCCTTTGTCCTTACAATGAATGGCATGTTTCTATTTAAGCTTGCTTACTTTGGTTGCTGTTGTTTCTAGAGTCCTAACTAATACACTGGATACAAGAGAAATTATTTCCTTGTGACCTCCTCCCTCTCTCTGTACCTTACCACTACCACCTTAGTGTAAGCTACCGTTGTTTCTTACATTGTAATTGGGTTTGTTTATTTTTGGAGGAGGTACTGGGGGTTGAACCAGACCTTGTGCATGCTAAGCAATGCGCTCTACCGCCGAGCTATACCCTCCCCCTCTTACATTGTAAACTGCAGTAGCTTCCTAGCTGGTTCCACTTAGTAAAACACTGTAACAGTTAAGAACTGGTTATTGTGTTAGTTAAAGTGTATAAACAAACAGATTATTTACCTTCAAGATTATGATTACAGAGTTGTAGCAAGACAGCTTGGAACTGAAGTTTGGTTTATTGGTGAAATCTTCTTTATGTCAGTCAGAGCAGCCTGCAAGTACCATGCACTTTTATAAGCTACCAGGTAGTGATGCTCAGTGAGGCTCTGAGGGCAGGAGAGTCAAATCCTTATCCAGAAAAGGTAAGTCTACTCACATTAGAACAAATCACTAGCCCTTCTAGGATGGAGGAAGCCCAGTGTTGTCAACTCACTATTAAGTGGCCTGTTAGTCTCCTAGAAAGAGTGCCACCTTGGGAGCTCAGTGTTGGGCTCAATATTTAGTTGAACATTCAGAGACAGCAGTAGCTAAATCAGCCTTGGTAAGTAGGAGTCCATGCTGTTGGGCCTTTGCGTAGCCTACATCTCTACCATTGTAGCTATTCCATTCATGTGCTTATTGTGCCAATTCTGAGATGCTCCGTATGTGGCTGACACCAACCAGCCACATCATTTTGTCTATTTGGATATTCAGTGTCTCTCCCATGGTGAATTCTTTTTGGTGGTCATTGATACATGAAGCAAAGATCTTCATTCTTTGTCTTCCCTCCCCTATATCCATCCATACACCTGTACTCCAGACCTTGCTGTATCCCGTATTTCCAGTCTTGTCTCTTTTTAAGACACTAACTACTGGCTAGGCTATTTGCCACTGCCCACGAGCTCATATATATTCTCACCTTGAGCCACTTCTCCTTCTACACAAAATGGGTGATCACTTTAATATCTGCCTATTGAGAAGATTTCCCTTGCAACTGCCTTTTAAAGTCACCCCTGAGAACGGCCAATCATCCCCACCTCCTCCCCATAAACCAAATGAGCTTTTTCCACCTGCTTCAGCAGGAGCCACCCCGTGCTCTGCTGTGGCCACAGGTATGAGCTGAGTGAAGAACACTGGGGCAACTGCAGTGGGTAACAGAGGGTTCTGGGTTGCCTGTGCATGCATATTGCTTGTATCCTCTGATCCTGCTTAGGCTTGATCCCGGGTGTAACATTTCTATCTTATGGTGGCTTGGTGTTGGGCCCATCTGACTTTATGATTTTGTGTGTCTGACAGAATCCAGACAATGATGGACAGTTCCAGATGCAGTCACTTTCCAAGTTTTTCATCTCCACCATGGCCCAGTACACCAGAAGCTGCTTTCAAAAGGCTTAGAATTCTCTGCTACAGCTGACATATTCTCTCTCCAGAATTTCAATAGCTTGCATTGCGATTCTCCCATTGGGTCTTGCCATAAACTTTCTACTGCTGCTTTTTCAACTGTCACCTCCACCACTATGGGACTGGCCAGATCATATGGCTCCAAATCTTACTTAAAGCTGTCACCTGGGATATCATCCAAAGCACTACTACTAGGCATGGAATATGTTGTCCCCAGAACCCAAAGAGGCCTACCAAGGGTTGTGCTTCCTTCTTTAAGAAAGAGGATGCAAGATGCAGTAATCTGTTTTTGCTCTTAGGGGATATGTCAGCATGCCTCTGGTCACGAGACCTCTGCATCGTCACAGAGCTGATTTCCCATCCTCTGGATTGCATGCAGCCTACCAACACCTTCAGTATACAAACCACTGAGATATAATTGACAGAAAGTCTAATTACCATCCATCACCACACATATTTAAATTTTTTTTTCCTTATGAGAACTGATTTTCTTTCTTGATTGGAATAGAAAGACACATTTGTCAAATCAATTGCTAATCCATGTACCTGAGACAATACTAATTTAATCTAGCAAAGATATAGGTACAACAGCTATAATCAGGACTACTATTTGCTTGAGTTTGCAGTAATGTACTGCTGTCCTCCAGGATCCATGAATTTCTGCAGAGTGAATTAAAAAGAGCTTAAACAGGGACCACTACCTCTGAATCCTGACATCTTTATGAGTGGCACTATCTCCACCATTCCCCACTGAGATGCAGTATTAATAGTTATTGACTTATTATCTTGGCTGCGTTGGGAGCAGTTTCATTTCTGGACTTTCAATTCTATTCATTGACTGATGGGTCTGTCCTTATGCCAGTACCGCATTCTCCTTATTTTAGCTTTGTAGTAGGTTTAGAAATATGAAAGTGTAAGTACTCCAGCTTGGCTATTCTTTTTCAAGATTGTTTTGACTATTCTGAGTCCCTTTCATTTCCAGATGAAGTCCAAAATCCGCCTGTCCATTTCTGCAAAAAAGTTCGCTGGGATTTTGACAGAGATTGCATTGAATCTGTAGATCAATTGGGGGGGGGGATATTGCCATCCTAACAATATTAAATCTTCCAATCTATGAACAAGGGGATGACTTTCCATTTGTTTAGATCTTCTTTAGTTTCTATCAATGATTTCGTAGTTTTCAGTGTACAAGTTTGCATTTTGGTTAAATTTATTAAGTATTTTATTCCTTTTGATGCTATTTTAGATATAGTTGGTTTTTAAATATGTTTGGAATGCTCATTGCGTTAAATAGATTTTTTTATTGATCTTGTATTCTGCAACCTTGCTGAACTCATTTAATAGTTTGTGTGTGTGTGTGTTCCTTAGGATTTTGTACATATAAGTAATTTCATCTGAGACTAGAGAGAGCCTTAATTTTTCTTGCCCAATCTGGATGCCTTTTTTTTCTTTTTCTTGCCTAACCGACTTTTATTCAATGTTGAGTGGTGAGAACAGACTTTCTTGCAATAATTCAGTTCTTCTCTATTAAGTGTGGTCTAAGTAGTGAGTTTTTTCATAGATGGTCTTTATCAGATTGAGGTTTCACCTTCACCTTTGAAGGATGGTTTCACTAGGTACAGAATTGATTTTATTTTTTCCTTCCAGCACTCTAAATACATCATTCTGTGTTCTTCTGGCGTCCACTATTTCTAAAGAGAAGTTGACTGTTAATTGTATTGTTTTCCTATATGTAATGCGTCACTTTCCCTTGGCTACTTTTAAGATTCTGCTTTATTGAAATTTAGCAGTTTGCCCATGATCATGCCTAAGTGTGGTTTTCTATATACCACTTGGGGTTTCTTGAGTTTCTTCAGTCTGTAAATTTATGTTTTTCTGAAGCAGCTTAGAGTAATGGGGATGTCCTCAAACAAAAAGTCATAAACACACAAATGTTCCATCCCATCTTTCAAACGTAGTTATTTCTATTTCTGGGAGGGTTATCTAACCAAGTCAAGTCCACCAATATCACAAACTGGAGACTTCTACTATTGATTTTTGTGCTTATTTTGTATTCAGCAATCTTGCTAAATTCCTATTTGTTTAAATTTGTAGATTCTTTTGTATTTTTCTAGACTGTCATATAGTCTCCAAATATTAATGTTTTTCTTCTTTTGTACCAATTCATATAGCTTTTTCTTAACTATTAATTATAATCTCAATGGTGAATAGAAACAGTGATAGGCAGTAAGTTGCCACAGTCTTGACTTTCATGGTAGTGCTTGTAAAGCGTCATCATTAAATACTTCTTACTGTAGGTTTGTAATAGATGATCTATTAAAGTCTATTTCTTGCTTTGTTGAGTATTTTCATTAGTCACTGTTGAAGTTTATCTTTTTTTTACACTGAAAATGGAGGTTCAGAGAAATGAAAAAGGTCATCAGATAGGCCTCTACTAACTTCCTTCTGTCAGGATCTTGCCTCTACATAGCTTTATTTGGGGAAAAACAAAAAAAAGCTTCCTCCCCTAAAGCCTGTTCTCTGGATCCTCACCCCTCCTGCTTCCTCTGTGACCTTGCTTTGTCAATTATCCCTCATTGCTATATTTGGGAACTTTCCCTCTCTACTCAGGAACATTTTATTTCTTCCATCTTAAAAAAAAAAACCCTCCCTCAATTCTACACCCCTTGTTTAACTACTATCCCACCTCTTTCCTTCCTATGTGCAGATAAAGCTTCCAGGAAGAGTAGCCTTTGTTCAATCACACCTCCCATCACACCTCTCCTGCACAAGGTTTCTGGTTCTGCCCCGACAGCTGCAATTGCATCTGCTCTCACCAAGGTCACCAGTGACTGCCTAGTGGCCAGATACAGCAGCTGCTGGCCAGTCTGCTTTACTCAGCTTCACTGTAGCCTTCAGCACTAGTGAGCACTTCCTCCTCTTTAAAATTCTTCCCACAATTCCTATGCCCAAGCCTTTTCTTGGTTTTGACCGCATCTCTCCAGTCATTTCTTCTCCAGTCATTCCTTCTCCATTTTGTGGATTCTTCTCCCTCTACCAGCTTTTAAATGCTCTTACTCCTTATGGCTTCATTTTTGAGCCTTTTCTCACACATGATCTTTCTTGGCACTAACATTCAATTCCATGGCTTCGACTACCACTTTTAGAATGATGTTTCCCAAACAACGAGTTCTCGGCCAGCGCTCTGCTGGTGCAGGAGAAGTGTGATTCAACAGATGAACCTAAATATTTAGCAGCCTGTTGGACATCTTCGCTTGCATGTTCCATAGCACCTCAAATGAACAGGACCAAAATGGAGCACAGCATCTTCTTTCCCAAATCTATTCCTCCTCTTTCGTTCTCTATCTTGGTAAATGGTTCCACATCTACTTAACTCCCCAAGTCAGAAATCTACCAGAATAATTTTCTATGTTGCAAACCTGAACATGTTATTCCCTTGCTATAAACATCTCATTAACTCTCTTCGGCCTTCTGGATAAAAGTCCAAAATTCTTAGCATGACACATAAAGGGCCTTAGTGAGCTCTCCTTGGCTCAAACCTCCATAATTATCTTTTACTTTTCTCCCTTTAAATCCTACATCCTAATAATGAATTGCAAGTTCCAGAATATGCAGCTCTGCCTTCCTGCTTCTTGTCTTTATCTAGCTATCTCAGTCTTCAAAACTCAGTTCAACCTCCTCCAGGATGTATTCCTCACTTACCCTCCCTTGTCACTGGATTGGGTGCCTATCCTATTTGCTCCCACAGTCCACCTTTGCTCATAACCTTTAATACACTGTACTGTTTTCCTTTATCTTCTTGAGGGCAGTGACTTGGATGTTTTTCTCTCTCTAGCTTCAGTTCTTATCCCAGTTACTTGTGCCTAGTTGGGTAGGCACTCAAGAAATGTGTGTTAAATGAAAAAGGTTCTCAGCTGCCTGAATAGCTTGGACCATAATCCAAAGGCCAGTTTCAGTGTCTGAGAACATGCACAATTTGATGGAAACTCTCATCAAGTTTCCTGAAACCAGGAAATGGAAGAGCAAATGAAGTATCACTTTAGGAAAAGATGAAATCCAGCCCAATTACACATTAGAAAAAAATTAAAATTTTTGATCAATAGTTTAAAACTACCAAAAATGCCACATGGGTAGGAGGAAAACTAAGGTATGACTGTTCCTGACAAAAGGCTTCCTAGTTTTAATAATGATTCTGCGTTGTTCCTCGATCTGGCCTCCTTGAATAGCACCGATTTGCTTTGACTTCGGATCTCTGTGTCCATTTTCCTTAGACCACTCCAGCTATCTTCAGGTCTTACCATCTGAAGTTAAATTAAAAATTAATGAATTCCAATTTATCAATGCTCCCAATGTGTGAAGCATTAAACACAACCAAGCATCAATATTTATTAACACAAGACAAAGGAAACACATTCAATGAGTTAATAGAACACTGTCCAGCCAGATGTTAAATTTAAAAATGTATATCTAGTCTAAATTCAAATAAATAAAAAAAAACTTTATACATAATTACACAGTACTATAGTTTGAATTTGACACTGGTAAATATCTTGACAGAAAGTAAACAAAACAAAGCATTTAGGACTAAAAAATTATTCTTATATCTTTACACTCTCTTCCTCTGGACAAATAACATGGCCCATCTACATATACCTAAACCAGAAATGTCATATGAATGATAAAGAAAAGGCCTATTGTGTATCTGGAGTACTGCAGCTTGCTCCAAATACTCTTGCTTTTAACATGAAAGCAGACAACAAAAACAACTCTAAGGCATAGATCATGTTGGAGTTTGAGGGTGAGGTGATAACTCCTCAATGCTTTAGTCTAAAGATTCCTGGATATTCAAGGAAAGTAATTTATTTGGCCAAGATATTGAGCACCATGCCTGGGGCAGAGACCTTAACAAAAAAGCTAAGGCCTCAGGCCCTTTGTTGATTCAACAAAAGCATTAAGCAAGCATTGCCCAGGGACTAGAGTTAAGGAGACATTCACTCCTATGACCAACAGACAGGCAATGGTCCCGAAACAGCCTGAGGCAGCACAACTTCAGGAAGACCTGGGACTGGAGGAACAAGGGCCCTTTAATAGGCAGGAAGGAAATAAAGACTGTGGATTCACTGATGCCCACTAACATGCTGGTCATTCCCAGGGTCTCACTGCTGCAGGAGATGGCACTTGTTCTGAGGCAGCCCCTTCCTCATCTATCTCGGTTACTTCTGTTGAGAGGCAGAAAGAGTTTTAAAAACTTAAAGAGGAACAGATTTCTCTTATGTGAAATGGGGGCTTCCTATTAGTTTTCTTTTTCATATACATGAAAACCCAGACAGAATGTCTTCCAGACTTCCAGAGTTTTGACAAAGCTGTTTCTATCAATAATGGCCTTTTGGGCCTGTCTCAAGAGTCGGTTCAACCACAAAGGTTCTACCTAATGTGGAAAGACTAAGAGCATTGTGTCATCAAGAGGAAGTTTTCTCACCGAGTCTGCAACAGACTAGGCATTAAATCTGCAGATGGTCCCACAAACACCTATAAGCTAATGACTAGAATCTCTTCCCCTTACCGGAGGATACCTTACCAGAATGACTGGTGCAGTTCCCCAAAGACATAGCTTGGCTTTCTTCCATTAGCATACTCTAGCTTTGGGGGATGGACAAAAGATAAATAAAGCAGCCACAAGGCAGAAAGCAAAAAAATGACAATAAATCAGAAGCCTGAGGAACTATAAAACTACATAATCAGCCCCTAAGTAACTGAGAGTTGGCCATACTCTGAGATTAACGGAGTATTTTATTTGAAGGAATGAGTATAGCTCCACACTGTCCAATATGGTAGCCAACAGCCACATGCGGCTACTGAAAACTTGAAATATGGCTAGTCCAAGTTGAGATGTGCTTAAAACATATTAAACTTCAAATATTTAATATGAAAAAAAGTAAAACATCTCAATAATTTTTTATATTGATTCCATATTGAAATGATAGTATTTTTGATATACTGTGTTAAGTAAAATATATTAAAATTAATTTCACCTGTTTCTCTTTACTTTTCAAAATGTGATTACTTGACATTTTTAAATGACAGATGTGGCTCACATTATATTTCAAGCAGACACCCAAACCTGTGTAGAAAAAATTATGAAGGAAATCCATAGAATAGACTCTGCCTATATTTTTTTTTCTGAGAACTAGTGGATTATGGAGCTAGAAGATCCTCAGGATTCCTTGCTTTGCTTACTGAATCATCAGAAATTGTTTTAAGAAAATTACTTTCCAGATAATCAGGCTGTTTCCTCTGTGGAGCCATATTGTTGCTAGTCACTGGGATTTCTTGTCCCAACGCAAGTGCTTTTTTTTTCTGTGCATCCTAGAACCTCTCCCATCATGTGTAAATTAATGTCATCCAAAATGCAGAAAAAGAGATCTGGAACTGGAAAATGCCTTGAGGCTTGCCCTCTGTGGAGAATGAGTTGGGAGAAAAAGAGGATTATGTCAAAAGGAGTCGGTAAAGTGGCTTTGAGTCAGGAGACTGTGTGAGGGCAGCCCCCCAAGAATGCTGCCGTGGCGAAGGGTCTGGTCTTTGCATTATAAACCTTATTCTCAGGGTAATTACAAGTCTTAAAAATTGTTTAAAAACATATTTAGTTTACATGATGTTACAGTGGGGTAAATAATATGTATTATTAAAATAGTCTAAATAAATATTTACACAATAGACCAGAGTGGGTCAAAGAGAACCATTCTGATTTAACAAGTTAACTCTTTTCACTTTGAGTTTTTTTTTTAATTTTTAAAAATATTTCTGTAAGAAAAAAATAATAAAATTCAACTATATTCAAATACATGAAGTATCAGACCAAAGAAAGGAAACCGAGCCGGAGGCCAAACTCAGTCCCAGGCTCAGTCCGCTTGGCCTGGGCACCGCCGTTATTTCAAAAGAGTTTCTTGCACCCATCAGACACCTCCCCTATTTCAGCATAAGTCTGGCTATTTTGGCAATCCCAATCAGTCAGTTCTGAGATATGTAGCTCTGCGCCCTTATGCCTCCATGTGACTTGATCCCACCGCCTTCCCAGACTATCACTACTGTCCTTAAATTCTCTGCCCTCGTGAACTGGAAGAACGGAGGATGCTCTTCAGTTTTCAGAAAGGAGAAGCTATGTGTATAACTGCAGACACAGCTTACAATGGGCCTGGAAAAGGGGAAATTCTAAATTCTTATGTAGTCACTTTAAGTGTGAAAGACAGTTTCAACATTGCGGGCCAGAGTGAGTTATTGCGATTCCTTAAAACTAGGTGAGCTCTAATGAATCTTAGCTTTTTCCTAACATTTTGATTTTTAAACTGAGATTTTCAGCTGGTAGAAATAGGTTGAATTCCTAAAAGCTTAAGCTGATTCTGGGAATGCAAGCTTTAAAAACAGACATAGGCAGCTTCCGTTTATACTAAATATATGCCAGCCAACAGAGACATAGTACAATGTGCAGCAAAACCTGCAGTCTGCACTTTTCAGTCACCTACTCCGTTACACTGCATCAAGAGAGCACTGAAATTCTCTCAAAGTAGAAATGTTTCTACTTTAGTTGTTACAACTATACAAGCCAAGTCTTCAATTTTTTAGTGAATTAAGTGTATTCTTATTTACATGTTTAAAACACTGGTCAAAATGTTTTACAGTCAAGAATTCTATATATAAAGTCATTCTCATATTCAGTGGGTTATTTGATTTGCTTATGGGTCAACTGGAAGTAAGCCGAGTAATTTCCATGTTAACAAAACCCGCAGAATGTCTAACTATGGTAAAATGGCAGAATACAGTACAGAGCGGGGAACTGTGTAATTCAGACTACCCTCTTCATGTGAATTCATTAAACTCCCTTACAAAATTCTAGAACAACATTAGATAAAAATACAAGTATATACAACAGATGAAAAAAATGTAACATGCATGTAATTGCTTTAGTAACGTGCTGCTCACGCTATGTCAAAGCTCATGACTAACAGGCTGTTAACATTTTTTTCATTTGCCACCACAGAATTCCCCTTTCCTGTGTGTCATGTGATTGCAGAATCCCACAGGATGAGATGAAGGATATAGTGTAGCATCTCAGCTTATTTCACACCGTTTGAAAGCTTGCTCCTAGTCACCAGTCTTTGGTCCTTGTGGTTTTGCAGGATGGCCCCTGTAATCCCCACAAGGTGGTCACATATTATAAGCCACATAGATGGGGTCTAACTGGTCAGCTAGGAAGCTGTCACGGAGGTGCATCCTCTGCTTCTCCCCTCTGGAGTTGATGGGGATAACACCTGGGTCCACCACCACCACGACGCCAACGATGAGGTAATGCTCTTCTAGGACCACGTTTGTCACTAAAGGAACCAGATCTAGGGCTTCCTGTTCAGAGCCACACAGTTCCACAACCACCACGAGCAAGTTGGTCCATGTGAACACGGCACTGCAAGTTCAATGACATTCAATTAACATATCATCTTCTACAGTGTCTGCCAAAGACTTATCCCCATGTCCCCAAGGACTGCCTTCTCCCTTGGATCCAAGCAGGAGGCTATCTATCAGCCACATCTGTAATACATGACCTTGTCTCTGTGATCACAGTTGATTACCTGAGCCATCTAATATCTCTTGGGAGTTTGGAAGTGGGATTGAAAGCTGTCAGCTGGTTGCCTAAACTGAGGACATGTACTTGAGTGCTTGGAAGTTCTGGGGTAGCTAGGTATACAGAGCATTTCAGGGAAAAGCTCTTCAGGGAGGAGAGAAAAAATGAAGTGGATGCCCACGTGGCTCTAGAGCGTGAGAAGATGGTGCTTCCTGATGGCCCTCTCATCCCTAGTTTCTATCCTTTTTTGAGATCCAGAGCTGGTTAGAGACTTTTAGGAACCTCTGAGATGGCCAGGTACTCTTCCTATTAACTCTCGTTTGCTTAAGTATTTTTGAAGAGAATTCTTGTTATTTGCAACATAAGAGAGCTTTAACTAAGATTATTACCTATACTCTTACACCCAACAGGAAGGGAGTCGGCCTGGCCTCGTCTGAGCTTAGTGCCCCTACAGGGTCCTTACTGTGCTACAAGGTAGAAGTTGCTTTATACTCAGTGGGATTGCTGGGTTAGGATGTATGACCTGATTTGTGGTAAGCAGTGTTAAACTGCCTTAAAAAAAATCGATCCCAATCGTTAAAGAAAAATGTACACAATATTTGGTTGCACCAAAAGTCAAATGTTTAAAATTAGGGGGTAACATGGCACCCAACTTCCCTGTGTTGTTCTTAAACCTCATGGGCATCATTCAGGTCTGAGGAGAAACTGTGACAAAAGCAAGATAAAGATGCTCACAAAGAAGTATCTGGAAAGCACGAACAACCGTTACAGAGCTGTGGCTACTTTGCACGGGAAAAAACACCCGAGGAAGGACACGCTGACTGAAATACGTATGGATTCTGTACTGTCAAGAATCCAGAATGAGAGACAACAGTAAAAACTAAGGTTTTGATTTTAAGGAATTAAAAAAAAGTTTTTAAGAAATTTTTTAGTCAACATGAGGCTGGATGACCTTTTAGCGGGATGATGTGGGGGGAATTCCCGCACTGAGGGAAAACTGCACCAGATAAGAATGATGACTCTTTTCGTTTGCTTACCATTTGATAGATTATGAAGCACATTCTCATTTGATCCTCCTGATAATCAGGAAGAAGCAGACAAGGTATCTGCAAATAAGCAAAGCAGCCTCCATGGGAGAGCTGGGCCTGCAAGCTGGGTCTTTTGATCACAAAGTCATGGTTCCCCTCCTGCTACACTGTACCAACTTGCTAGAGGCGGGTGGTTAGTTAGGTCCTTTCCAATGGTAAGAATCAATCATTAAAAAGGACTCAGACCCTCACTGGGTCCACGGAGCCTGTTTCCGTGTCCCCATGGCCTCATCTGCCACAGACAGATGAGACAAGAATCAGTGTGTTTATTTTCTTGTTGCCCTTGGAGATCTATGTCTGTAGGTGGCACCTGGTACAGATGGCTGACTACAGATCCACTTCAACCGACAGTATAGCCGAAGCGGGAACCTGCTCTGTGAAGGGGAATTTACCATTCGGCAATGCTCCTGTGGACCCGAGACACGGAGGTCTCAATGTCGATGGGGTGGTACCGCAGTCCTCGCAGCTCCAGCGTCTCGTCCAGAGCTCCCACCACGTACAAGGCATCGTGACGCTCTGATGGAGAGAACAGAGAGATCTGGTTCATCAGACATACTGAGTGCAACGCACTGCTGGGGTTAGGAGCGCAGGGTTCAGGCCGCTGGCCACGTCACCAGCTGTGTAGCCAGAAGCAGATAGATCACTTGGGGCCCTGAGATCACTTAAGGCCCTGAGCCCTGCTTCCTCTCTGTGAGACGGGGTAATAATAAATGGCTCCTGTGCCGATTAAATAAGATAATCCATGTAAGGGAGTTAATATTGATGCCTCGGGCATGGTACGGGCTGAAAAATATCAGCTATTATTATTACTATTATTATTATTATTACTACTCCTCCTCCTCCTCTGTGACAGTAATTGTTCCAAGTGCTGGGGAGACAAAGATGACAAAACACAATTCCTGCTCTGAAAATACTTACTGTCTGGTGGGGGAAACTACACGCAACAGATGTTGCACTGTGGTAAGAAGCCCAGTGACCCGAGTGTGCCCGAGGGGTGGGGAGAGGATGACATGCCCCACCCTCAAGCTCAGCTCAAGGGTTCAGAGAGGGAAAAGCTGAAGCCTTGCTGGCTGAGCTTTCAAGGAGGAATAGGAATTAGCCAGACGATGGCTGTGGGGTCGGGGACGGAGGGGAAGATTTTAAGATGGAAAAGAAATGAACATGTGTCACTGTTTCTAGACGTCTTCAAGGAATCCATGGAGAGATAGTCCTGGTTATTAATAGGCTTGTGATCCAGCCAGGACATGGCAGAAATCTCACTCTTTTCTTTTTGTTTAAGAGATTTTATGCACATACTGTATACATTTATATCTACATAGGTACTGCATCTTGAAGAAGAGAGGTGATTTTACTAGGTCTACTGAATGTAGTATTTTCAGGAAAAAGTAGATGTCTGAAAACTTCAGCGAAACAAATGCTAGAAGCTGTTGGAGAGAGGAGGCTGAGGAAGGCCAGCAGAGTTCCCATGACACCAGAGGAACTCATAATGACTGTAGTAACAAAAACAATGGCAACACAGCAGTTAACAACTAGGAAGTGCTTTCTGTGTGCCAGGCACCTCTAGGCACCTGAATGTATCATGTCATATGATCTCACATCATTTTGACAAGGCAGGAAGCATTATTACTCCCCCTTTCCAGGTAGGAAACTGAGAGGTCCAGTGAGTGGCTCAAGGTCACACAGGAAATGGCAGAGGGAGGCTTCAAACCAGGGTGCAGGCGAGCGATGCCTCCCTCTTCTCTAGTATGTCGTTCTGCTTCCCTGTGAAGCACGGAGAGACTACGGAGCTGATCAGTGTGCAGCACGTGTGACAGGCGAAGGAGAAATGACCTGGCTCGATTCCAGCCATTAAAGCCCAATGAGTGATTTGGGTCAGTTCTTGACGTGCACCATACAGTCAGTGCTGGGGATCTGAAAATGGCTACTAATGCCATCAGGAAGAACGGCTGGGGGCAGATGGCAGTGAAGGCATGACAACTGGGCAGAGGCTGACTGGGGAGCCCGGGCGAGCAGTCTCACGTCCAGTGTGAGCCCCCGAAGGGACAGAGCACTCCAGACGTTGGCCCCTCCACGCTGACTCCCTCTCAGGGATTAGGAGTAGAGGATGAAAAGATGAAATACCTGTCCCATCAGGGCTGGAGGCAGCCCCACTGGGCAGAGGGTCTGCGTCCTGCCCGGGGCACCTACCCATCACCAGGCGCACGTCTACGACTGCCCGGCCAAGCTAACCCATGGTTCAGGGAGGCCAACAGGGCGCCCTGGTGCTTCCGCCCTAGGGACTCTTCGTGGGGCAAAGTCTTACTTCAAATGAATATAAATTTGTGTGTGGGTTCAAGATCACAGAAGGGAATGACTCAATACACACAGTCCACAATCCAAAGCAGGCTGAAGCAGGCCAGCCTGTGCCTGAGGCTGAAATGCACAGCAGGATGAGGGGGAAGAGCCGGTGTGGATGGTACCTCCGGTGGCCGCTGTGAGCTCAGTCCGGCGGACAAAACCCAGGTATCCTGTTCGAGCCCAGAGTGTCTGGGCAGCATCCCCAAAGCTGAGGCGGGTGTTGAAATGATCAGCTTGAAGAGTTTCACTGTCGTAGATGGTGTAGTAGCCACTGGCTGTGTGAGGACTGTTCACCCAAATCTACGACAAGAAAGGGGGACTGGTCATGCTTCACCAGTATCAGTGCAGTTCTCTTGGGACAGGTTACTTTGGTTTTTTAATCTCACATTTATATTAACAACAACGCAGTTGCAACAGTAAAGGCAGCCAACATTCATCAAGTGTTGACGACGCGCTGAACAGGGAGGGAGGTACTCCACATGCCTTACCTCCATCAATCCCGACACACACGACGTGACAATACGGTGTGTATGACTATTATTCTCACTTCACAGATGAAAAAAACAGGAGTTTAAGAAACTCATACCTAAGACACAGAAACTAGGAGACCCAGACCCATGTCTGGGTGGCTGCAGAGGCCGTGCTCTGAACCTGGAGGCTACGCTGCCTCCCTGGCTCATTTCTCAGCCTCTTCCAGCGTCTCACAGATACATCAATGGATCATTTCTGGGCTCTAAACTAGGTTATAAAGCCCCCAGGAAAACACTGCAGGGTGTCTGGATTTACGATATAAACAGCAATAGCCAACAACAGCAGTGACACCGGAATTCACTGTGTGACAGGCACTGTTCCATGTGTACTGCCGACAAAGGCACTGATGTATTTAACTGTCACACAATTCTACGAGGGACGTGCAGTTATTACTTGTGGGGGAGGAACCTGAGAGGTTAAGCAACCTTCCCAATAATGGGAAGCTGGTAACTGGCAGAGCCCAGGCCTCCTGGCTTCTGTACCTACGACATTCCTCCCTGGAAGCTATGGGTGAAATACCAGGGTCGCTCAAAGACTGTGGGAAGAAAAATTAAGTCTTTTAAAATATCTTTATACTAATACAAAATATGGATACATTTTGGAAGAGAATATAAAATTTGTATAAATTTTAAAAATTGTATTTGTGTCTCCTTCTAGTTCTACTCCTTAATAGGTGGGAACAGGTGGAATTTGTCCACTTTCTTTCTGAGCTAAGGGAATGTCAGTGGACAATCTGGGACTGGTTCTATTTGGGTGCCCAGATCTTCTCTCCATCTTGGTGTCAATTTCCCTCTTTGGTCCACTGCAGCTTGTGCCTTACAGAGAAAGATTAAAACTCTTGAAAACTCACAATGGGGGAAAAGCTAAACTCACAGTTTCACTGACTTTTAGAATATGAACATTAAAGTCTTTCACTGCTGACTTTTCAGAGTAAAGGGGAAAATTCTACATACCTCTCCAAGGTGAGAGTCTCCAACAGGCCCTTTGGTCTCGGGATTAACAATAACTACTTTCACTCCAGGTAAAATCTAAGAATCAAAGAGAACACAAAGACTGGCCTCAATTAAATGTAATGACCTCTAGGAAATGTAGTTACCCACCCTCCTTTCCCTCTGTGCAAAGGCAGGAGCTGAGATGGTGCTCACGGGACTGTCCTCAGTGGAGACAGAGGTTTAACAAGATTCAGCCTCAAAATCAGCCCCTTCTCATAATCTATCTTGCTCACTGGATCGCCTGAGAGCCTCCGCTCTGGGTGACAATGAGCGCTAGAGGCAGAGGGACCTGAAGAGCACGGGAGGACGGTGGCAGCTCTGCAGGAGAACGGAAAGACGTCCGCCCGGGTCCCCCTCAGGAGGGAAAAGGAAGCAGTGGTGCCAGCCTAAAGGATGGCTCAGGGCCTCTCTACATGCCTCAACCCCTCTTCTCATCTTGGGTTTCTAGCGTATGGTTCCTTGAGAAGCCCCACAATGATGATCTGGGCTCATATACCTAAAACCTCAAGGAAGGAAGAGAAGGGCCACTCCTGCTCGTCTGGACCAGGCACCTCACTAAAGCTCCTGACAAGATGGTAAGGTCACCCCAACTCCACCTCCAAGGGTTTAAATGGAGGAGTAAAACCAGAGTACACTCCCCATGGGCTCATCCATTGCTGCATACATTAGGCAGGAGCCCTTTATTCCTTACCAATTTTCCCTCTGCCTTTTGGAGTTACTAGAAGGGATTCTGACACGTTATCACCACCTCCTCAAAAGGATGAGAAACTTGACAGCTCATGCTGATTTGATTCTTTCATTAGTAAATTGTTCAAAACTGCCATAGACTGAAATCCACGTGTTGAAACCTAACCCTCAATGTGATGGTATTAAGAGGCAGGGCCTTTGGGAGGTGATTAGGGCTCTGCCCTCATGAATGGGACCAGTGCCCTTACATGAAAGAGACCCAGAGATTTCCCTTGCTCCTCTGGCCACGTGAGGACAGAGCAACAAGATGGCCATCTAGGGAATCTCTCATCAGAATCTGCTGGCTCCTCGGTCTTGGACTTTCTAGCCTTCAGAAGTGGGAAAAGTAATCTTCTGTTGTTTATAAGCTACCCAAGTCTATGGAATTCTGTTACAGCAGCCTTCTGGATGGACTAGATAATGACTAAATCTCTTCTTGAACAATTTAAAGCCTCATTCTAATCTAAGAAGTCACTCTCAAATATCTTTATACTCTCGTCCCCATTTTGATTTCTCTTTTAACCTTAAATATGTGTATGTCTTCCCTGATATTAAACCCCACCCCTCTATTTGCCACCCTATTTTTCTCCTTATAACACTAACAAAGGTAGAACTGGCTGTTTTTAAATGTTGCTCATCTCTTCACCTTTGATATAATGAACACTGAATTCTGCTGATCTGTCAAATAAGAATAACATGCTGATCGAATTAAAAAAAACTGGAAATTAAGAAGGCTTGAATCTAGTATTTTTCTTATTCATGTTCCCATATGAATTTGAAAGCATTGGCTAAGCGGAAATTGTTGAATTATCTCCAGATTTCAATTCAGTCTTGCCCTGGGCACTAATATATTATATGGCTTCAGGTTTCTTTGAAATGAACCACCTCTCCACATAGACTACCTTTCCAATGGTTAACTGAGCAAATTACCTTTCCAGACTCTGAGAGGAGCAAACTCTGGGGGGCACCCCGTTCCACAAGACGAACTCTGCAGAAGAACAATTCAATACTTACTATGTATGTGCAAGCCTTTAAAAAAACAACTGCATCATTTATACCACAGCTATACACTGCTTTCCCAAGACCTCTACTCTGTCTCTCCTCAAGCTAGAGCAGAGTATCTTAAACTCACATCACTGACATTTTGGGTCAGATATTCTGTTAGTTTTTGTGAAGGGCTGTCCTGTGCATTGTAGGATGTTTAGCAACATCCCAGGCCTCTACCCACTAGATGTCAGCAGCACCTCCTTGTTGTGACAAACCAAAATGTCTCCAGACATTGTCAGATGTCCTCTGGAGGGCAAACTCTCCCTGGGCTGAGAACCACAGCACTAGAGATGCTCTCCTTGTGCAGGATGGCTCAGTGCCACGGGCCACACCGTGAACACAGCCCGAGTCAGAGGGACCCAGGAGAAGGTTCCAGAGCCCTCAGGCCAGGAGCTCCCCTTAGGACACAGCTACTATTCATTTGTGAGCTGATAAGGAGGAAGGCTTTTACTCCTGGGGCTCAGATAAAGTATTGTTTCAAAAACCCTACTCTGCCTCTTTATCGTCTGTCTCAGTTATTTTTAAACTGCCAGAGAAAAGCATCTATCCATTTTAGTTTAATTTATGTCAAATGTCACAAAACACCAGTATTACATTTTAATATTAAACAACAGTGCAGCAACTGTGGGAATTAAAGTTTTTTTCTTATAAATGTAAATCTTGTGAGCTATTAATAATGAAAATTAATTCCTCCTCTCCCCTTAAAGACTTTAACAAAAGGAATGAGGGAGAGAGCTGGCTTTCTTGAGGCTCAGAATTGTTTCTGCTCAGAAACGCTAGCAAAAAACAAGTAAAACAAATCTGCCGTACCTGTCGTGTCTTAGTGCTTTCAGATCTACATACACAGTAGTTGGATCAGGCCCTGAGGTTCCCTAAAGAAAAACAAATCAATGCATTATTTATTTAAAATTTAAATGAATGTTAGTTCCATATTTCACATTTTCAAATCAAGAAATAGATAATTTAGCCCCAAACATGAAAAATCTGAACTCTATTTTGAAAGCTCCCCCTGTCAACCAGAAGAGGCAAGGTTGCCGTCAACCTGGAAGAGACGCCTGGCCTGGCTTTCTCCTCGTCCTTCTTCCCTCTCTTCCCCGCTTCTTCTCAGGAGAGTAGGCCACGGCTGGGGCAGCACTGAAAGGTTACCAGGCTGAGAAGGGTCCTCATCCCTGTGCTCAAAGTAGGGATGAGACAGACCAGCATCCATGCGATTTTCAAAACCAACATTGGCCCAAGCTGACAGCAAGGGGCCCATGACGGGGCTCCAAGGTTAAGGTGTCACGATGCTGCTCAAAAGTCACTCAACCATGGACACAGAGGACCAGAGAGTACCCACCCTTGTACACCACCTTCTTTGACTCTCACTCTTGTCCATACCTCCATTCGCCTAATTAGCCTCCAAGCTACATAAAATCAGACTCAGTTCTTTCCTGCTGTTTCAACCCCTTTTTGTTATTTACCCACCAAGATAACACAGCAAAGTTGCCATCTGGCTGGAGAAAAGAATACAGGCTTATTTGTGCTTCCTTTGCAAAAAAAGGTATAAAAGATGGAGGAGACTGAAAACAGAAGGTAACATAAATAAAATTCAAATAGGCCTCAGAAATCTTCTTGATTCATCGTCACGGACCATAACACCGCCACTGAGAGTAAACATTTACATTAGTGCTTAACTGCCGGGCATGGCTCCAAGCACCCGGCACCTGGAAACTCAGTGGTTCTACAGAACGACTCGTGAAGGATAATACCATCATCTTCATTTTACAGATGAGCAAAATAAGGCATAGTAAAGTCCAAATAAAAAGCCCCGAGTCCCACAGCAAGTAAATGGAGGCCTGTGCTCCGAGCCCCTCCCCGCAAGCAAGCTTTCATGACAGTCACCTGCAAACATATTGCTACATTGACTCTCGATCCAAAAGTGGTGCTGACGGCCCGAGGGGACAGACCGATGTCCTTAAAGAGCTTGGAGAAGGACTGCTGGAGGGCAATGCGGGGCCGCTCCTCAGCCACCACCACACACGTCCGGATGCAGGAGAGGTTGATTCCTCTGGTCTGTAAGACACCACACACAGGAGCCGGGGTTAGCAGGATCGTAAAGCACTGAATAAACATGGTTACTTCTCTACCTTTGTTCAAGGAACGCCAGGGAATTCTGTGTTCTCACCACAGATATCCAGAAAAAAGATACACCTTTTCAGAAAATACCAAGGCATTTCACCAAAACCATTACCCATGGTCAATTTGCTCATTCTTGATTTCTTTCCTCTGCCATCTAGAAGTCTCAGGTGCCAGTCAGACATATGATCACTGGATACACACATGAATGAGCTGCCTTATCTCTGGGGCAATTCCCAATCTCGAATATACTGAGGATGCAAATTCTACTGGGAAAAATCCTCCTGGAGGTCACAGTTCCCTTTCATCTTTACATAAAAGCTTTTCTATTCAGCCCCACCTCTTCTCTACAATATAAGAATCAGATTAAACCCTGAGAAAGTGCACTAAATTAGACAGTGGAAGAGAGGAACTTTCTGAGATTTACAAACCTTTTTTGGCTAGAAAAAAGCAGCCAGATCTGTCTGGCCAGCCCTACCAGGGTGTCCTCATGCCTGGACCATTTCTTTAAAATCTCTCAGGACTGGCTCCTTGATACAGCTGCTTCTTACCTTCAGCACCTCCACTTGGTTTCCAAGCCCCTTGGTGCAGAGCTCCATTACTGAGTAGGAGCAGAAAGTATCTCTTATTTTGTACTGGTTGACGGTGGCGAGCCAGAGGAAAAGGTTGTTTTCTAACTCCATAGGAGGAATTAAGATGGACTGGTGGCCTGAATAGACACTGCAATGAAGAAACACAAGAGCTGACATGATCAATTCATTCTAGGTACCTTGATTCCTAGAACACCATCCATTCAACAAATACTGAGTGTGAAGGACACTGTCGGGTCATATGACATAGGAAGGTCTAAGAATCAGTCTCATTCCTACTGAACTCACAAGACACAGTAACTATAAAGCAGGCTATAGAAGGTGCAGCAACTAAGACGGAGATAAAGGACATCAAGATCACAGAATAAAGAGCAAGTCGTTCAAACTGGGAACACAGAGGGGGGAGTGTTTCACCGAGTGGGTAACACTTGAGCTGAGGCTTGAACGAGTAGGAATTTGATGGTGGCCGGAGGAAGTGAGGATGTGGTGAGGGCACTCCGGGCAGAGGAACAGCATATGCAAAGGGACAGAGATATAAAATTACATGGTGTGTTTAATGTTGTCAGAAACAGTATTCCAGGGTGAAATACTAGAGCACAGGATGCCTGGGGGAGTGGGGAGAAGTGAGGCCAGAAGGGTCGGTACCAAACTGTGAACTATATTACATGAAGGACTTTAGCATTTACCCAGCAGACAGTACCTACAGCTTTAAGTTGAGGCAAAGCTGGCTACAAGGAGGAGGGACTGGAGATAAGAGTCACTGAAGGCTGAGAGACAGCAGAGGCTGCAACAGCACAGGTGCAAGAGGATGAGGGCTTGAACCCTGACAGGCCAGCCAGGACAAGATGGAAGGGATGGCAGAGTCCCATATCATATGTACTCTCTCCAGCCATGAATCCTCAACTTCCTGAACCTTGAGTACAGATCACAATCACTGGGAGCCCAGGAATCCTGTATTTAAAAAAAATACTGGACTTGTGGTCTTCACTTCTGGAGATCTAGGTTAGTAAGTCTAAGGAAGGCCCATTAATTTTTTCTAATAGACCCCTAAGTGACTTTTATGTACAGACAGGTTTAGAAACAACTGAGCCCAAGGATATGACACTCAATGGCCCGTGAGACATAAAAGACACGGAGTGAAGATAACGTGGGCCCCTAGGTGGACAATGCCATCTTAGGAAGGATGGTGACAGAAGGCATCTGTGAAGCATTCACAGAGATGCCCACCAAGGAGGCAACAATGCAGGTCTGAGATGAGGTCCCCAGGGAGGACAATGGAAGGAGGTGGGATCTGCTATCCCACAGGAAAGAATCCAGCCAGGACCCACATGCTACTTTCCAGCCACAAGCTGTCGCCCATCTCATTACATTCCTTCCTGCCAAGCCTAGCAGTGCATTCTGGCTGGGACAGCATGACATTTCACCCAAGTGTCATCCTTCTGCTTGGCTCTGCTTCTAAAATGAGGATTACAGGATGGAGCAAAGAAGAGGTAGTAAGATCACTGCCCTTTTATATGAGGCAAAAAGCTAACAGAAAAGAGCGGATACAGACCAAATCAAATGAACATCAAAGATATATTAGGTGCACAAATTCTGGAAACATCAGCATTTTACTGAAACTTTACCAAATTAAGGGAGCAAAGGGAAGGATGAGATGGTCATAGCCCCAAAGATATTCCCATGCATTCTGTTTCTTTGCATTTCCATTCCTACCTGCAGAGACACCAGAGTGCAAAGCCAAGTCCACAGTAAGGGTCAAGGCAGATGGCGATCTGCCGAGAAGAATACAACTCACACTGGAGCTTGATGGCTCTGCAGAGAGCATTGACTGCAGAGTGGGACATCTGGAAGGTAAGGAACATGGAACAGGATGGAACTGGTATCCCACAGGCAGAAAAAAACAGCTCTAATGCTAGTTCTGAGAAGCTTCGTTTTCCCCAAACTCCTCACAGTGATGCATATTTTTTACTACTTCAAAATGCCTAGTCTTAAGTCTAACTGAAAGTAACATATTTGTTTATTTGTCAATATTGAGGTTTAGGAAATACGAATCTCTGACTTCATACTGGCTTTCACTGTAGCTCCTACTGTCTGTTAGCTTCTACGCTAGGTTCAGAACACTGCATAACACAAATTCCTTGGGATAACTTATTCCGGAAGAGCCAATGCTTTTATTTAAATATAGCAGAGGCCCTTGATCCTCCGCCTACTGGTCTCTGGTATAACCACTTGGCCTCTACATCTGAAGTCCCTGGGGCAGTGGTCATCTCTATTTTTTGCAGACCTGGCATTTTACCAGCATCTAGTGAGAGAGTAAATATACCCCGACTACTCTACCTTCACTCCCGTAAGCATGCCAGTTGTGGAGACACTGAAATCAAGATATGCCAGCATCTCAGGAGTGGGCGGTTTATACAGCTGAGGTAACTTTTTCCTGGGTAAATCATCTGCAAGGAAAAGAAAAACCCGATGTCAACCCGACACACTGGAACTCAAAACTCATTGCTCTTCCACCGGTCTTCTGTGACTCTGCTTTGCCCAAATTTAGCTTCTGGGGTTTGCTAAAGCTCAGGCTTCTCATATTTAACCAACCAGATCACATGTCACTCCTAGAAGTGGGCTAGGGCTGAGGGCACCACTAGACAGTGTAAACAAGGAAAGCTACATCAGGTAGGTGTATTTACTGGAATACAGTAAATCAGTGAGGGGTAATATAACAGCAGTGGAAAACACAGGCTGAAGTGTTCAAATCCCAGCTCTGCTATTTATCAGCAATGTCACCTTGGTGTCATTTAACATCTTTGTGTCTGTTTCCTCATCTCTAAAATGCTAATAACACCTGCCCTTACAGAATTATGAGGACGTTAATTCACATAAAGCACTTTAAAACAACTCAAGCAGCTTTACTTGTTGTTATGCTGGTTTCAAGTTAAAGTTCATTATTTACAGTGTAGTCCATGTTACTGTAATTATGAACTGCTTTAAAAGTTGGACAGTTCTTCTCCAAGTTAACATGACAGATTTTAAGGATGATAATCTGGGAACTGTTTTCCTTTGCTCTTTTAGGATGCCTCTCTTCCCACCCAATTTGCTTTATAAGTACGTCAAAATCCAAGGATATCAAGGATGTCTCCAACCCCAACCATGCCTCCTCGATGGCTCCTTTGGCTTTCCAGATCAAGAAGTAATTCTGACATTGACTTTCAAACCTCTGTACCATTGGGTGCTCGTCTCTGGTAAAACCAAAGACTTATCTATCACCTTCAACTCACCTTTGTGTAAGGAAGGGCCACTCAAATGCCTAAAAAAGCCCTTTCTGTTGTCTGTGATTTCAGGTCTTCTTGAAATGTGACTGAGTCCAGTAACCACAGAAGGCCTCTCTACATCATTAACACCAACACAATCCATTTGTGGTATATGTTATAAAGGACTTTGCTTATGTCCTTAAGTCACAAATGTAAAAAAATCTAGTTTGGCATCTGGCACACAATAACCATAAATAGACATCATCCCTGCTTTCAAATCCATAAAAATGTTCCTGAGGTGGACACCATGTGACACTTACTAAAAACTGGTAGGGAGGAAATTAAAGGTTAAGAGGCTGCAAATGGAGCCAAACTGACTGGGTTTGAATTTCAATTCTGCTACTTAGTTAGCCTCCTTAGCCTCAGTTTTCTTATCTGTAAAATGAGGATAAAGCTAGAACCTATCTAATAGGGTGGGTATGAGGACAAAATTAGGTAATACACGTTAGATGACTGGCACATGGTAAGGGCTCAATAAAAAGCTGGACGTTACTATTATGATTGTGTGCTGGTGTATTACATTATGTCACTTAATCTTTACAACCCATGAAGCAGTTACACGTAACAGAGGACCAGGATTTACACCTTGTCTGCCTGACTCCAAAACCCACACTCTTCCCTCTACCAGACAGCCCTGTGTCTTCTCCCTCTTCTGCAGTAATGAAAACCATCTAAAATTCATACACTTTATAGTTTTCAAAGTATTTTCACAGTATGTTGCTTTAAATATGTGCGTCTGGCAAGGGTAGGCAGTGTTTCAGGAAAGGGCAATCTCAGACAAGGTTATACAGAAAGTAAGTACTGAGACTTGAATTAGAACCAGGTCTTCTGACTGCTAGTCCAGTGCTGTCTCTACCACATCTGGAAGTCAAGGATCGGAGCTTCTCAATATTTTATAAGGTTCCACATGTATACGGTCAGCTCTGGCATAAAAACCTAACCACAGTTTGGGGATGCCAAGAGTAACAGCAAGACACTTTCTGTCTCAAGGGTTCTAGCATATTGTGATCTGCTTCTCTGTGTCTGGTTGTTGCAGTATCCTGTCCTGGTAACTCCAGCTGAGCAGATATTAAGTTCTGCTTTTGTCTTAGCAGATGGAGTGGCTGCAACATTAGAGCTGTGTAAACACCTCTGGCATGAGAATCAAGGAAGCCTCAGGGAGTGAATGTTCTTGCTCCCTCAGTGGCTCTGGAGAGATCTCCCTTTCACCTGTGTCAATGATCATTGGCCAGGTTTTCACATCCACAGCTGCTGCCGCCTCTCGGGACCTCAGTAACCTCATTAGGGTCTGCGTGGTGAGAATGCAGGCTGCTTTGCTGACCTAGAAAACAAATGGACAAAAATAAGCACCAGGACATTTAGCCCAAGTATAGCACCACAGGCTCGGCACATCACCCTGGGACAGGGCAGTACCAGCTTTTCAAAGAACACACACAGGACAATGGAGGTCAGTGTCTCCCCTCACATTTGTCCTGCAAATGTGACACTGAAGTAGAATGATGGACTTGTTCACAACACTATTTATTGTTTACCACAGCAATTCTCAAATACTCCACAGTTAAAATCTCAGTGTGGATCACCAAATCTCTTGATTTCAGGAAGATGGTAATAAAATAAAAACATGGATTTTGTAGTGCTCACGGAATGAGAGGTGTCAGAGGATCATCTCTGAGGGAGTTAGTGTTTGCAACAGTCCAGGGAATGGGGAAACACACTGGACATAGAACATATGTTGAACTTGAGGGACTCTGTGCTCTCGCAGAAACTAAGCTCTCCACACACCTGCACGTGGAAACACAAAGTTCCCTCACAAACTGTATCAGTGGAAGGAAGCTCCCTGCCCTGCTGCTCCGGCCTACTGTGCAGAATACAACAAGAGTGTTTTGCTGAATAGAACTTTGTAATAAAATCATCTGTGGTGAACCGGCTTTTATACTGCAGGCTCCAGCTGCTGACAAAGCACCAGTTCTTAGAGAAACAAATGTTACATAAATGGGAATTTTGCAACCCTTTGCTCTAAAGTACATTAGGATGTGATGCAGTACAGATTTATCTTACTTTCTCCAATTCTCATATCCTGCAGAAACTTCTATCACCTCCAGAGCAAGATTCAGATAGCTTTTAATATTACATCAAGTGAATTTTTAAAACGAACCAAAATAAAAGTGACCTGACGCTGGAGAGAATTCAGTTTGGCATATAAAATCACCTTGCTTACTGTGCAGAAAAAATACTAAAACATTTTTTTAAGAAGAAGGGAAAAAAAAACAGGTTTTATGGGGAATTACTAATGACAGCTTCAGTTTCTTAATGTTCACAATAAAAATATAAGCCCGTATTTCACCGACAACTGCTTTCCCACATTCCTTCACTGAAAATTGCTGGTCATTTTGGTCAGATTTAAAAAAAAAAGAAAAAAAAAGGAGGTAGTTTTCAGGAGACAGATTTGACTTCCTGACTCAACTAAACTACAAAACTGGTAAAGATCTTTAGTTGTCTGACTGTGGATTTTACGAGATGAGGACAAGGCAAGATACAGCCGGTACTTACATCAACAATCATGCGGACGGTGGGCAATGTGGCTGTAAGGTTCTGAGCGTGAGGAGGCCGGACGGTCACAGGTATGCACCCCGCGTACAGGCAGCCATAGAACGCAGCGATTAACTCGATGCCTGCAAGACACAGCCACTTAGCGGCCTTGCGTCACTGAGAAACCAAAAGGTAGATTTTCCAAAACCACTTTATTAAATCATGTACCAGATGGATCAGGCCATAATTTAACAGAGACATTACCAAAAGAAATTTTTTAAATTAAGAAATTGAAAGTAAAGAAGGAAGCATATAAAACCGCTTAAAACAAAACAAAACAAAAACACAGAGAGAAGCCAAGAGTAAATAACAAGAAAGGAAATCAGAAGTAAAGACAACTCCTGAAAGATACCCAAGGAAGGTACCTGGACATCATTATTTGATATTACATAGGAGAAACAACTGCACAAATTAGGGCTGCTTCCTTTGGGAAATGTGAGACTAGGGGAAGGAGAGATGAGGAACACGTGAGCTTTCTTTAAATGTTCAGAAGGTGAAGGTTGCTATGTGAAGAGCAGTGAGTCGCCTAAGATGTCACTTGCACTCCAGTGGGTGCAAGTTTTAGGGAGAAAAAGGGTCGGTTGACAGGTCCACTGTCAGGACCTGGAGAGGGGCCTCCTCGGGAGGTGCTCTGCTCCATCACCAGGTGGGCAACGGGCAGGTGGAAGACAACCCCCCAGGAATAAAGCTGGAGGGTTTCCTGTACCAGAGCACCGCCTACGAAATCTTAGTATCAATGTAAATAAAATAGCACAGTAAGAATCGCAGAGTAAAATGAGGTTAAGGGGATAAAAGACCACAGAAGGCTGGATGCATGAATGTGTTAGGTGGTAGAAAAATAAAGAAAGGTACAACTCAAACATTTCACCTAAAATTTTGAATATTTACACCAAACTGTCATTCAGTAATTCTGAGTCCCTCTTGCTGTAAGGAGAAGGTTGCTAAATTAAACTAGAACATGGAAGATGAATGCAGTCATAATCATGGGACACTAAGCACCAGTTATAATGTGGAGAATGTGAAGTCAGAGTTCACGGACGACATGCTTTGGGAAATGGTCCCATTCCCGAACATTCCTAGAAATAACTGTCTCTTTTGAGTGTTTCCAAAAGTCAAGAAATCTTCATTCATTCATTCAGTGTTTACCATCACGCCAGGCACTGAGCTAAACAGTGGAAATACAAGAGTAAACCACAGACTCAGTGGCAGCAGAGCCCTGGCACTGCACAACTCTGGGGGTGGGGGGCGAAAGTTGGGGAGGGGGGGAGGATGGTCCACCCCCCGATGAGCCTATGTGCATGGTATTCAGAATTGGGACATGCACAGCCCACATGGTCGCGTATGGCGGCCCTGAGCTCCTGTCCTCCTAAAATTTGGAGTCTAGTAATGAGCTTGTCTAGTCTACCGATTCAACACGTACCAGGTGGATAGAGCAACACCACATTGTCTCCTGCATTCAGATGTCCCTTATCACCAAGAACTGCCGCAATCCTCTCTGCTCGCTTATGAAGCTGAAGGCAGCTGGCTGTGCACACTGTAGTTCCCTTGAAATAGAAGTAGAAGCAAGTCGAAGTTCAGTAAGGAAGTAAAACAGTAACAAATGCAGCCAATTTGACATTGTATGAAAAGCTTGTGCTTGGTAGATTATCTTTTGCAAGTTATCAAATTCAGTGAGAACTCCCAAGCACCAAAAGATGTGTGTGGTATTTTCTTTTTCAAGGTTTGAAGGTACTTAGGGAACAGCAACATTAACTTAAATCAAACATAGGTATTTACAGTCTTATTTAAGGTAGCCTTAAGAATACATAGGAATTTTTTATTTACATGAAGAAATAAGAGCAGAGGGAAAATAAAGAAATAAAAGCAGGATGAGGGCAGGAGGGAGGTCAGGACGCTGGTCTGTGGTCAAGTACATTTGCTGTGTATAAAACACAAGTTTGGCTCGGAGCAGCAAAGATGTAAACAAAAACAGTAACAAGGAAACAGAGCCCATTAGCTGACAATAAAAGATTAACAGATTAGAAGATGGCCAACTATTCAGGGTCCTGAGAATAATTTCTCCTTCGGGTCTTCATAAGTATCCTTATTGTTAATTCAAGTTTCACTAAGCTGGGCTTTTTGAGCCCCTGTTCTTTTGTAAGTATAACACACAAATGAGAAAATGCATGAGATACAAATGTGCAGCTTGATTATAAAAATTATAAAACAAGCAGCTGTGTAAGAACCAGCGGGACAAGAAAAAGACCACTGCCAGCAGCACAAAAGCACCCCAGCAGGGGCTCCCGCCAGCCCTCACCTTCCCTCCAAAGGGAACCACTACCGTGACTTCTTAATACTGATGGCTGATTCTTTTTTCTTTATATTTTTACCACCAATGAAATATTTGATGTTCAAAGAATTGCACCGTACACATGTATTTTTGCTTTTTAAAATTTGTTTTGTTTTGTTTTTTTTGGGGGGGTGTAATTAGGTTTATTTACTTATTTTTAATGGAGGTACCGGGGATTGAACCCAGGACCTTGGCACGCTACTAAGCATGTGCTCTACCACCACTCTATTCCCACCCTGCCTCATACATATGTGTTTTTGAGCTTTGCTTTTCTCTCAACATTCTGTTAAGAGTCATCTATGCTGTAGCGCCTAGGTATATATAGCTTATTAGATTTTATTGCTGAATAGGATTTAATTATATGAACATGACAATTTATTCATCCATTCTACTGCTGATGGACAATCCATTCCCATACATGTATCCTGGTGCACAAACGTACGCGTTTTGGTCAGGTGTAGACCTAGAAGTGGAACTGCTGGGTCATGGGGTATGCCTACTTTCAACTTGACCAGATAAAACCAAATTGTTATTTGTCTATCATGCCAGTACCACACTATCTTAATTACTGTAACTTTGTAACTCAAAAAAACTCACCATAAAAGCAAGTTTACTGAGCTGTTAAAAATAACTTTAAAATTTTATTAATATAAAGCAGTACATGCTCAATACAGAAAATATGGAAAATATGGATGGGAAGCTACAAGTAAGACACAAACACTATTAAACATCTGGGTGTATATTTTCCTGGCTTTTAAAAAATGAAAAAACCTACATATTACATATAAATTCACACACAATATTAAAATTAAAAAAAAGGTATACTATACCAGAGGCTTGGTAGTGCACTGGCTAAGAATGTGGGCTTGAAGCCAGGCTGGGTTCAAATGAAGGGGCTAATTTCCTAGTCCTACCACTTGAGGCCCTGTGACCTCAGGTATGTGATTTTATGTCTCTGTGCCTCCATTTCCTCAACCTTAAAATGAACTGTGAAATATAAAGCACCCAGAACAGGGTCTTCAGTAACTACTCAATTATTAAAGTTTTATGTCCTATTCTTCCCACTTCCACACTATGAATATTTTCTGGGTCATCAACTATTCTTCTATAACATTGTTTTGAATGACTGCATAGTATTTCATCATGTTTACGTGCCATAATTTAGTCAGTCAATTTATCTACTACTGGACATTAAGCTTATAAAACTGAAATGAATAATATTCCTTTGGCTAAAATCAGGGTTAAATTCATAAGGCCATTTCTTACCATAGCCTTCTTTTTGGTCCATGGTATGGCAGCAAACTCAACTTAGCAAGGACCGTTTCTGGGCATGAGGGAGCAATGCCATATGGTTCCTAAGCTTTCTGGTGATCTGGGCTAATCCAGGGTAAAATGTTAGAATATGCAGAAAAATAAATAGACTACATGTCTTTTAGTCATCTATATATATATATTATTTCTGTAACCAAGAAGCAAATTTAAGCTTATGTTCATTATCAAATAATTTGGAGTTTGACTTTATGGGCCATAACTTTAACTGCAGCCAAGCTTGGGAGTAGAGTGGGGAACAAATTGGACTGACATCTTCTGACTAAAATGGAAGGACCCAAGTCAATCCACGGGCTCAAAGAGAAGCCCATTTCATGTAGAGGTCGAAGAAGGAGGTCCTAAAGTTTTCTCCCATAGAGCAATGGTTCTTAAGATTTTTAAAGACTTATCACTAAGATGCACAGCATTTTTGCCTCAAGTTCTATCACTGCATAAATTCTCAAAGTTGTGTGAGTGTGTGTATCAATTTCAGAACCTAGGGGGCTGGGGCAGAAGAGGGCAATTTGGGTAAGCCCCTAAGAGATTCTGACAGGCCCTCTAGTCTTCCCCTGCTGGTGAGAAATACTGTTCTATGCTATGGTTATAGTACTTGTAGCTTCTGACTCAGCCACTAAAACAAACAAATCTCAAAAGACTCCCACAGAATGCATAACTTAAAAAATACAATATTCTGGTGCACCATCCATTAGGAAGCAGTAGTTAAATGGACTATTGAATAATTTGCTTTTTACGTTAGCAATAAATCATTTATGTATCATTTAAGTATGTACTAAAAATAACTCTGGTTTTTAAAATGTTGATCTAAAGTCATTTTATTTCTAGTGGAAATAAAAGAATTAAAAGTCACATTGGGTAAAAAAATTACATGACAATGCATTCTGTACTTCTGGAGATCTATGTAATTATATACCGTCCCTACTATTCCTATCGGAACTGAATAAAGATGACTTGATTGTAACAAAAGAAGAGACATTATTGAATAACACTCCAGGTTTCATTTCAACCTTGAAGTGATTGTATAATTTATCCTCATAATTCAAAACAAGGAGAAAGCAATAAATCCTTCCTCAGAATTGACAACAGAAATTTTCTGATGAAAGAAAGAAATCAAGAGTGCCTAAGAAACTCACAATATCCAGCTGATTAGATATAGAATTGAATTTTTAATACCTTGGCATTTAACAGCATGAAGAGTACATGGTCAGGAGTTGCCTGGGCTCGCCACTGTAAAATCTCTGCCAGAAATTGGTGCTGAGATCATAAAGCAAAAGCAAAAGCAAAAAAAAAAGAAAAAAAGAAAAAAAAAGAATCAGGATTAGCAACTTTTAAAAAGCTAGACAGTGCATCTCTCCCATCTGTTATCTGAAGTGTAGGTTCTGTCCTTGACTTGCTTATAAAAATCAACACTTCTGGAACACTTACCTTCCTCACTAAATCATTTTCTTCAATTTGCCCAAGATCCCTTCCTGCAGCTTGTGCAATGCGTTTTCCTGCAACCAGGTTCCCAACCATCACAGAAGCAGGGCCTACACCTGTAAGTAAAAGCCAAAATCAACTCTCTGGAGATGGTGATTCAAGCTACATACGTCCTCTCCCCTCAAGCATTTCCAGACTGACTAAAGCAGGTTCAAACATTAATTCAACAATACTGACTGAGCATCCTTCCAGGCACTGGGGCACAGTAGCAAACAAGACACAGAGCTTGCATTCTGGCAGGGGAAGGCAACAAATAAACACATACTCAAATAAATTATGTCAGGTAGCAGGAAGTGACAGAGAGAAGGAAAATAGGACCACAGGAGAGATGAGGTTTTGAGGCAGGGGGTAGCAGGACTGGGTATAGGGAAGTTTCCACTCTGAGGAGGTGGCAGTTGGTTGCACGGGGTTCCTACTGATAAACAATTTCATCTGCCCCAATCATGGATAAAACCCTAATAGCAGGTTTAACAATAATGAATATCTGGTCTGAAAAGAAACCTTCCATCTATGAGGACTCAGCATGAGTTCATCAGGAATATCAGAAGGGCTTTATTTTAATGTGTAATGAAATCCAGATTGTGGGACATTCTATGAGACAACTGGCCTGGACTCTTCAAAAAGTCTTTTGAAGACTTCTGCTAGAGAAGGGCATACAGTAACACTCAGAACAGTGGTATCCTTATTTCCTTTCCTACCCATTGTTCTTTCCCAACTTTTACCACTATGAAACACACACATACACATACACACACTCCCCTTCCTTTAGGGAGCTGTCTAGTGGTTTTCAAAAACGTCACATTGGTCCTATGTTACAAATGTTATGGGATTTGGTCGTTCTCACTCCTTGCTTTTATTTCTATGTTGATGTTTCAATAATGCAGTGAAGACTAAAGTCAGATATTCCTGTGGAAATTACCTACTTTTTAAATCCGTTTCATGTAACTTACAGTTAGTTTTCAGCTGCTTTGGGTGGTTTCACAGTCTATTTAATATTCTTACGCTTCTCTGCCTAGATTTAGTTTCACCCAAAGAACTGGGTGAAACAGTGTGGACTTGAAGATAGTTAACATAACTCTGAATGACCAGATCTTCAGTGAAAATTTATCTTAGATTTTAAGAGACAGTATTCTCTGAGTTCATATTTTTGAGTGAATCAGCTTTCTAGAACTATATATCTTTTGGTCTAAGAAATCTATTTTTTTAATCTTAAGGGAGAAGAGGAAAATAATTTTTTCTCTAAGCAAAATGAAATCCTTTCATATTTTGTTTTATATCAACATTCTGACTTCTGCCTTGTGTTCACAAATGATCATTCAGCTCAACTGGAGCTATCATTATTCTCAAATAATTTTGTGTGTGCATGTGGCATGTCAAAGTATAACTACCAAAAAGTTGAAAATATGATTTTCATACAAACATATGAAGACCATTTCTTCTCATTAATGCAGTAATCAGCAGGATGGAAAGTTGATTCAGAAGATGATTGTTAGAACAAGGGTTGCATAGGCAATGGAAAAAAGAATGTGGATGTCAGATTGAAAGATGAGATATAAAACTAGTTAATGTTCTACAGGACAATGAAATCCTTACCTCTGAGTTATGTTTTCTATCAGAAAATAATGATGTGCATCTCTGCCAGACAAAAGTCTAGAAGTTAATGTGTAACTTCACAGAATATAGGCCTTAATTTATAGTAAGTGTTAAGTCAATCAATGGCACATTCCTTATACATAGACAATTAAATAATCTTTGGGTGGGCCTGTCAAACAATGTTCTAATCTACTATGTCTCTAAGAGAACATGCTGCCCTACCTTTGCCTGACTTCCAAGTTTAGTTCATTTTTCTTAATGAACTATGTCTGATCAGTACCAAAACCAAACAACACCTAGAAAGACAGCAGGAAATGCTGGCTTATTAGATAGGATAGTTTGATGCAAGCAGCAGAAATCCATTAAGGCTAACTTAAGTTTAGAAGGAATTTACTGGAAAGATTATAGGGTGACTTAACACTGTATGCCTTTCTTGATGGTCACTTAAAGATGAAAACTCCAGTGTATCAAACTAAGAAGATGGCTAAAACATATCAAAACTTAATGCCAGCTGAGTTTCGAATAATGCTGATGTCATGCTTAGATTGTTATTAACCAATGCTTATTGCCAAAATCTGTTGATCATGAATGTACTGAAATGGGTGGAACAAAAACACTAAATCACAGAATCACTTTAAAGTATTTAGAGAAGCGGGGTAAAGAATATAAGGGAATTCTTTCACTATTTGGCAACTTTTCTGTAAGTGAAATGATTTCAAAATGAAAAATTTAAATAAAACAAACAAAACCCTAAAGGGCAAAGTACTCCAACACTACGCTGAACGGTTTTCATCTACAATGTGTCTGTCCATTGAAATTTTAAGTATGATAGGCAAAATTCTTTCCCAAGAGACTAGATAATCAGTCACATGTATATCATGTTGGAGACAGCCTTTTTACTAAGGCAGGGACCCAGAGTGTATGTGACTGTGTACATTGTCCAATCCTGGACTCACACTGTAAAGTTAATAAAGGCATGATATTTTAAAAAGTGAATTTTTCAGACTAATTTAAAAGGATAAAAATAATTCAGCAGTAATTTCGTGAGATCCTTCTGTGTGCATTTCTTGAATCTATGGGTCAAAGGAAATGAAAGATTATGGAAAGCAATAACATCTAGGAGGCTAACTGCAGACACTGCAGTACCTGTAAATATGTCTTATTTTCCCCACAAAATTCTGCAAATTTCTAGTGGCAAAAACTAGTCATCAGCCCAGTTATGTATTCTTCTTTTCCTTAAAAACACAACCCCCATTTTTCAGCTAGACAAATGCCTAGAATAAAGACTATATTCGTTAGTATGGGAGAACAATAGGTAAAAGGAAGTGATAGTGCAATTTCTAGAAAATATGTTTAAAGAGGTAGGGTACTCCCTTCCCTGTCTTTTTCGCCCACCTGCTAACTGGAATGCAGAATTGATGGCTGGAGGTCAGGGGCTCTGAGGCAGTATGTTAAGGCTGGCTGTGGCAGATGGTTTTACTTTCTTACAAATCTTCTTTGCTCTGATTACATGAGAGGAGTATATCCCTCTCTACTCCACTGACTCTGGGCACGGTCTGACTTATTTTGGACAATGGAACGTTAGGAAACATGAAACAAACAGAAGCTTTAAATATGCTTGTATGGCTTGGCTTGCCTTCTTGCTTTTGCCATCTGCCTTGAGGAAAATATGGCCCAGGTAGCTGCTGGTGCCATGATGAGGCGACACATGGAACAGTTCTGAACCCAACCTACAGCCTGGAGCCACGCCAAGGCCAGCTGATCCCACCATGCTCAGCAGATCTACACTCCACGAGTGAAAAATAAGTGCTTCTTATCTTAAACCACCCAGTTTTAGGGTTATTTGTTATACAGCATTTGTACAGCAATAGTTAACAGATAGCAATGCCAGTGCAAAAAGGTGGGAAGCTGGAACCACATCCTAGCCCTGGACTTCTAGATCCAGATTTCTTCTACCTTAGAAAGAAATCAACCTGTCTTTTGTTTAAGCAAGCTGTTATGTTCTTCTGAAACCTGCAGCCAAAATCAGTCCTAACACAGCCCCATTCTTTACACATAGCTTAACAGGCATCTCAGTGAGATTTTTGTCACTGGGCTGCCTGACACTTTCTATCTTCCTTTTCCTCTGCTTTCCTTTCTTCCCTCCTGTATACCCAACCCCACGCTCCTGTATTCTTTTTAAACACCAACCTCTCATGCTATCCCCACATCATGTCTGCTCCACCCACGCCATGATTTTCAAACTGCTTTGGTTCGAACCATAGGAATACCACTCAGATTTCAGCAGACAATCACAACAGATAGCAAAAATACAGAATCCAAACCTAATGCTTTCATCAGACAGGGGGATGCTATGCTGATGGGGGCTTAGGACTAAGTCTTTTTTACACGTTTTATCATTTAGTAAAAATGCCTGAAACCTGGCTAACAAAAGCAATGTTTTAGGCATCTACCACATCTCTAAGTAGCATCTTTTAAGTATCTACTGACACGGAAGTTTTGTTAAAGGGATCCTAGATTAAATGTTATTTAAAATAGGATTTTATTTTTATGAGAAATAAATATATGACTTCAGTATAACAGAATTTGAGATGGAGAAAGATTTGTATGTTTTACTTATCTGTCAGATACTTAGGGAGGTAATATGAAGATACTTCTTTTTAAATATTTCTTGATTAGTAATGTACAAATTTAATTCTAACTGCCCCTTTAGAATATTAGTCTCCATAAACTCTTATTTCCACAAGCAGAAACTGATAAATATCACATATACTTTTAGCTCTATACACACTGTTACTAAGATGAGGTTGGTGAGTTGAAAACAACATCTAGATAAACAACTGTGATACGATCTTCAGCCACCAGACCACTGAAGTAATTACTACAAAGTTGAGTATATTAACATTTTAATATCCTAATAAAAATATCCCAGAGTCAGAGGCTTACTTTATATTTTATTATACATCATATTTACCTTTCAGCAAAAGCGGGCTTACAGAAACATAATTAATGCCACACTTCCTTTTGCCTTCCTAATCTTCCCACTTTTATCTTCTTTTCCTAACACATTTGGAGGCTAATGTACAAAGTGTGTATGTGTGTGTGTGAGTGTGTGTATGTGTGAGAGTATGTGTATGTGTGTGTGTATGTGTGAGAGTGTGTGTATGTGTGTGCGTATGTATGTGTGGGTGTGGGTATGGGTGTGTGTGTATATGTGTATGTGTGTGTGAGTGTGTGTGTATGTGGTAGCTGCATGATATGTAAAGACCACATTTTGGCTTTTGTGTGTTTCCAGGCAAACAAGAAAGTAGGAGGCTCTCATTAACTTCTCAATTAAAATGGAAAAAGCATCAATAAAACTTAATGATTTCATGTTGGATTGAACAGACATTTTAACATGACTGACCATCAATTACTCCTGCCTTTCGTGTCCTACTCAGCCTTATAACCTAGGTCTGTTCAGAAATGAGGCAAAAAGGTGAAATTGAGTATTTGTTTTTTTTTCTACAGGCACCCTACTGAGAATTACTCAGAAGGGGGAGCCAACAGTAAACCTGGAGAAGCTATTTTGCAAAATCTCAATCTTCTCTGCTTTTCGTCAGCTGATACTATTCCCATGTTACTCATTAATCTTTGTAAAGTCTAACTCTAGAGAAAGAATCAGGCTGAAAGAAACCAGTTTCTTAAAGTTACAATTTTAATGTCACAACTTCAAAGCCAGCACCTTACCTGGTTGCTTTTGCCGGGGTTTTGGCAGATTGGTCACGCATGTATGTGGGCACATGAGGATATTGCAAGGATGTAGTGATCCCTCCAGAAACAGCTGTTTTGTCTGAGATATATGGATCCCTCCCAATGGAGTTTTGGGCAATGTATTGGCAGGCACCAGAGCAAGACAATAAACCCCCACTTGATGAATGCTATCGATTGCCTAGAAAAATACAAAATATAGAAATAAAACATTCAGTGAGATTAATTTTATAACATTTGGCATCCGTCTAACGTAATCCATTATTCTATTCTAGGCTTTTTCTTTATCCATTCTAGGTCTAGACTCCGGTAGAGTACTAAGATCTCACATCTAAAGGTACCTAGTCCTTCCAGAGATGGCACAGGGGTGAGATACCATCTAAATGGACAGAGGCGGATACTGGTTCACAAGCCTCAATATGTTCTCTCTTGAGTGATAATGTCCAAAAACCTAGAAATTTGTTTTAGTTCTTTTAATATTTTAGCTTTCCAACATGGCTCAATTAAACAGAGGCCGTCTTTTTATTATAAACACACAGGAGCTCTGTAAGTAAGCCCTTGTTTAAGCGGTTCTCCAGGTTACCAGGAATCTCCTCTGCAAAACATCCAGGTGAGGCCCACTGCACACTGAGCCCTGGAGGCCACCAGCTCCCGGGGCACCCCTGCTCCCAGCCGCCCCCCTGCGCACTCCCTGAGCGTCCGCTGTGCCTGTGTCCACATCTTTCCACCAGCTATTCTTGTTATTGTGCTCCTATTATTTAATTAACTATTATGTCAACTGATAAAATATGCAAAACAAGAGAAAGAGCTAAGCTCTGGAAAGACTCGTTAGAGGTGAGCTCCTAAAAACTACTGTTGGTAAGAACGGGCAAGTTCATTCTAAAAGGTAGTAAGGATTACGTATTCCAGTTTCTAATACTCACGTTCTAGTCCAGCTTAAAGGAAATGAAACCAGAAACCAAAGACAATGAGTCTGGATGAGTTTACAGAAGAAAGTTGACCTGGAACTCAAAGTGGTGTACTCACACTCACACTACTCTATATTAAGTGAAGGCACATTTATATGCTTTGCATTAAAATTTAATACTTGAAGAATTTCTCATTTTTATGGTTTTCTGCTTCCACCACCTTTTGAAACCAACTGACCAACTACCAATACCAGTTCCAAATACAGCAGTTATGTGGGTTCTTTTGTATTACCCACAAGTCTTACCGAAAAGGAGATAACAACCTGAGAAGAATGGACCAGGAGTCACAAAAGATGGACAAGGCCTTTTATTAAAATGACTTAAAAAGGCAAAGGAATAAACTTGAAAAGCACATTCCTCAGACTCTCCTACTGACCAGCAGAAACAGCCGGGAAACGGGAAGTCTGGAAGAGTCCCTAAGTCTCTGGTAACTTAGAAAATACAAGAAGTCAGCAAATGCACTACGAGTAGCATGGGCTCCCCACTGAAAACACATCTGGTAAGTCGCCTACTGACCAACTTCCTTAGAAGGTGCTGAGTTAGGGGTTTAGTTCCTATCAGACACAGACCTGGAATGAAACAATCTCTGGGCTCCAAACTACCAGAGCAGATGGTGTTCTTACTGTTCTCCTAGGCATCCAATGCCCCGAGCTGAGAAGCTACAGAGGAAACAATGCCCTCTTATTTCACGCCCAAATCACCCCAAATGACTTTAACAGGGATTTGGGTTAGGGAGTTAGCACTGTATTTAATTCCTATAGTTGGTTCCCAGGGAAAAATAACAAATATCTTGGGGAATTTGCTTTCTGTAACAGGAAAAAAATGCATAATTCACCACAAGATCCTACCACTACTCCTCAAAGTTCTTTCTGGATGAAATAAGCAGTTTGTTTGAAAATGTGAATAAACATTCTCTTTGCAGGTATGATTCTTAGTCATCTTTCCGAGATCACCCAATCCCCCCTTCTTCGTAGTTTCTTCTATCTAGTTCACCTTCAGTAGATTTTTTTCTTTTCTCTGGTTTTCCACTACCAACAGCTTGTGCTATACCAGCTGATAACTGAGAATCACAGACCTTGCAGATAGGAAGAGATCTTAAAAGTCACCTAGTGCTATCGCTCACCTCATGCTTGCACCGTTTCCACAACATTACTACTGGCTGGCAGTAAAGAAATCCAAATG